TAAATCAGTTTACCTATGGCCCATGAAAACTAGCAAAGTGAATTTTGAGGTGACTGAGGTTCTACCATTTGAGCTACAGAGCTTTGAAGTGATCTATGAAGAAAATCAGAGCTCGAGATGACAGAAAAACAAATTCAACTTTGTTAGACGATTAAGCTGATAACATGAACCTATACCATAAAAATTCTTAATTTTTTCATAGCGATAAGCAACTCAAGCTTCCACGCAGAGTCCGTACTTGCCAGGCCTTCTACGTTTCTGTTTTAACTTTCTAGGCCACTAAAAAGTTTAAGCAATAAAATAGCATGTCCGGTGGGGGTTGGGAGACTTTAGAAAGTGATCTGAGAAAAGAAGTGATATCATTTGATGATCAAGGGAAAGTCAAGAAAGCTGTAAAATTTAGGCCTAACCCATGAAGGGCACAATAGCCTGGTAACATTTCCTGAAAGGTCAAAAACTCTATCACACCAGCACGATACCTGAAGGATCCTCTGTTTTGCCTCATGATACAATAATTAATACACAGGAAAAAAAAAGATTTTTACTTTTTTAGCAAAGTTACATTGTGACTAACACATAAGCAGCACAGGCAATAGCTATGTTTTAGTAGGTACTCTCATGAAATCTGTACAATTTTTCAGTGGTACCTAAAGAGTACATTATAAATGGAAAATCCATTTATGTCTAATATCTTATCCCTCCCCCTCTCACCTCCAGCAATACCAGAGCAATGAGGTCGCAGAGTAAAATTAAATTCAAAGTACTTGATTTATTTTAAAAATTATTAGCTATAAGTAGCTGGACATTTGTAGCCCTCGACCACTGCCAAATTTAAATTCATTAGTACTGAGTGTTTCCTGATTTAGTTCCAACAAGAAATATGCAGCAATGAGGTTATGGTCAAAAAGCTAGAGTGCTCACTCTCCAGGAACTGTGTCTGCAGATTTGGGATTCAGAAAGGAGAAGCCACGTGTCATGGGAGTTCTCCGTTGACCCTGGCCAAGATAACTTGTAGAAATTCTGCAGTGTTTATACAAGTTAGCTCTAGGCAAGCTGGCTAGGACTGTGATCCTCGAAAATAAAGGTAAGCACTGGCACAGAAATTGTGCAGTGAAAGCAGGGTATTGAATTGCCTTTCTCAAATGCTTAATAACCTTGAAGCCAAAAAAGATAGCTGTGTCCTCTGCATCCTTAAGTCCATAGTGCCATGAGAAAAGCCCCCACCTAAGTTACAGAGTCCTCACGACCACTCACAACACAGCCCGCTAAAGGAAACTTACAGATGGCTTTGAAAAATCACCATGTAGCTAGCATAGTTAAAGAGCTAAGTTTATAGCCACTTACTGAACTCTGGACATAAAATGATATTGAAAAGCCAGCTCACTAAATCCTTTGTTAAGGGTAGACAGTAAAACTAGCAATAGGAGCTTAGTGTCAGTTTTTAAGGTGGTATTAATAATGTCCAAAGTCTATCATGGTTGTACGCTGACTTTCACAACAAATATGTTCTTGAGAAGAGGGTGGGAATAAGACGGATATTTTAAGGCCATAATGATGTATATTTTTAAAAAGTTTTCTTCATTCTTTATCATGGAAATTTTTTAATATAATTCCCCGGCAAGTACATTTGCTAAGCAGTGCACCTTACCGCTTCACAAACAGACTCCTTAGATGCTGCCTTTAGTCAAGGACGATCATTCTGCTCCTTTGTCAGTACTCCTGACTGCTCCTCTGTGGCTGGGCCCAAAGTGAGTCATCAAAGAGCAGGCAGTGCACCAGTTTCTTTCCTAATGTTACACATTCAAGGAAAGACTTAGAAACAGGTGCCAGCGCAGAGATGAAGAAGGGAAACCAAGGGGGAGAGAGCAGGCAGTGGGGCAAGGCTTCTGCACACGAGTTTCCTTAGGAACTTTAATTGATTCTCCTGGCCATGGGTATTTGAGCCAATGCTTAATTTCCTGCCCACGTACTGAAAAGTAAGGGAGATTGAAGTGATTAAAAGAATAAAGAGCAATTTTACTGTGATCATTTCTGTTGATCGTTAATATGAGAAGCAAATAGTATTAGAAATCAGACGTGGAAAACTGTAGCATTTATGTTGCATTTCCTGGAGGTGAAACAGACCCTCCCCTGCTCGTCAGTGGACTTCTGTGGCCCTGGAGAGATGACCACATACTTTTATTTGTCCTTCTCAAATGACTGTATTCTAAGTTTAAGTTTTTGCCTTATTGTAAACATTTGGTGTGACATGGATGTAAAAACACACACGCACTCTGTTCCCACTTCTGTTGGCTTTCTTGTGTAAACTAGCTATACCCACAAAATGTTACTATACAGGAACAGAAGGACGCAGGATGGCAAGGAGAAGGGGGGAGGGGGAGCAAGAAGCAACTTGCCAATTTGTGGAGTGGAGCAAACCCAAAATGTTGGCGTTAGAGCCAGATAAAATTTTAGACTAGGACGAATTAAAAGTACGTGAGGTAGATAGAAAGAAGTGGTTGAGAATAAAAATAAGGCAGATCAGGAAAAGGTCAGCAGCGGGTCGCATGCCGTTAGAGGTCAATATGAATGATCCCAAAAGATGGACCAATTTCCCTTTTTACCCCTCAGAGAAACTGTATACATTTTGTAAAAATGAAAATGTATATCCAATCCGTTATCATTTATATTTGAAATATGTTATACTATGAGATTAAGAATCAGACTCTAGATTGATTTTTGTTGCCGTCCCTTGGCACCAGTCTGCCCTGTGGTAGTGATGTCTATAGCTTTTTGTTGTAAAAGGGCCTCATTCCAAACAAAACTGAAACCAATAGACTATATGCTTCTTCAGGATAAACAGAAACTGACGCAGCTCACGAACCCTGGTAGTAAGAACTTGGAGATAATAAATTAATGGCAATTCTGAAATAAATCTTGTTATTTGAAGCCACAAAAGGTCATGGCCACACGTATGATCTCGAAAGGAAAATGATAGAGCTAAAATATCTTCTTTTTAATAACAAAGTACATGTGTTATTTCTAAAATTATAATTCTGGATTAATCTCTGTAAAGACATGCCACATCTTGAAGTCTCCTTGTTGGAAGCTGATTTCAAGCTGTTTGTATTAAATATTTCTTCTCTCTCATCATCCTGGTGGGTAGAACAGGTGTCAGTGACTGTGTATCCCCAGCCAGGTGGTAAGTTATTCTGGCGTGAGGCAAATGAGGCAGCCCCATGCCAGGGGTGCACCGTGCATGGTAAAGTCTTCCTCGCTAATATTTAGTTACCCAGTCTTATAGTCTGTGCTATTTAGTAAAATAAAAGAAGTTTTTTAAAACAACACTTGTGAAGAATTGGAAAGCATTCATGCTGATTCAGGGGTTTGTTGACAGTGTTCTAGCCCCAGCAGTCTGCGGAGTACCCCCTGGTTGACACAGCAGCATTACTTTTGTGTAGCAGGGAAGATAACGTCTCAGGGAGCTCTGGGGTACCTCACCTCACCGCGTTTGGTAAACAAAGCTTAGTGAGGCTTTACTATCGACTTTCCCTATTGACTTGATGTTTTTCTTTTAACTAGATGTTTTTCTCCGGAGTTCACTTTGGCCAGATACTTAACTTCTAATGCTTTTTCTGGCTTGCCTCGAGAAACTTTACCTCTTCAAACATTCTGGCTCAAAAGTGAAATAGGAACTTAGCTCTTTATTCATTTTCACATAATGCCTCCATCACAGATTGACAATTTCTGAGGCATTCACTTTGAAGAAATGTGAATGTGGTTGTAAAAACATTTACCGTATACTTAAAATGTGCTGAAGATTCCATTTCTCGGTGGAACATAAGGATTTCAAGGGGATTTTCTTTTGCCGAATAAAAAGAAGGACTCTAATACATCTAAGAGGTGGCTAAATGTGTAGGGAATAGAAACAGCTATCATGGTTTCATATTTTTCTGATTACCCTTTATATCTCTGTTAGCTAATTTACTGTTTACGGTATCACAGTGAGAAGAGAAACATTTCATAGATCTTGAAAATAAATTCAGGAGAGGTTAACTAACTTGGCCAACAGCACTCAGCTGTTGAGGATTTCACCAAGATTAAGCTTTAGACTGGATGTTTCTACCATTCAGCTCAATATCCAACCACTTACGGGGTCCTTGCTCATGCCCGCCCTTCAACAGTAGCAGAAGGCGACTATTCATATGCTAAACAGAGGTCAGATGGTGGAGGGCAGCCTCTGAGCTGAAAACCCTAACAGCCACGGGACCCTGGGTAAGTGATCTATATTTATGTTCCTCAGTTTCCTTATCTTAGAATAAATAAATAATTAGAATCTGCCTCATGAGGTTCCTGAGGATTTAGATAAGCTAATCCATGTTAAAAACCAAGAGTAGTGTATTTAACAAACATTTGTTATTACTTTATTGAGATGTGTTTGGTAATCGGTATATAAATCCTAAAGTCAAGCATGCAAAAAAAATATTACTTAAATGAATGGGCAATGTGGGAGTGTGCAGAGTCGCCCAGAAAAAAAATAATGGTGTGAACTCAGTCACCGGGCAGGGTTTTGCAGAAAAGCAGGGAAGTGTCACCTTCCGGATTCACGTCATCTGTGTTCCAACTTCTCTGGTCTCCCCATCTCACTGTACACCCCCACATACAATGCAGGGAGAACCCAGCGTGGTTTTGGCAGACAGTCTAAATACCCAGCAAATGCCAGTTCCATTCAATAACAGGCAGGGAGAGAAGAAAAAGGAGGAGAAGAGTATAGACGGGTCCAGACCTAAATGATCAATCATAGGGTTTTGGGTTTTTTTTTTTTCCTTATCCTGTTACTCCTTTGTTCTGCAGATCTTGAAAGTTCTTCATTAAAATTTGTATCAGTCTAGAAGAAATACATTATTTAGTCTATCTCCTTTGCTTTATTGGGAGGACTTGAGGGTCATTTTCTATATTCTCAATACCTGGTGTAGTTTCTAGGACATCGTAGGTGCTGCACAAATGCTTGCTAGTTAGTCCAAGAATGAATGAGGTGCCACCTGGGTTATTATTTATGGAATCAGTGGAAAGGGAGATCTGTAGCAGACACGTGGGGAAGAGGTAAGGTGGAAAGGGAGAATGGGGGTAACAGAGTGCCAAGGACAAACTCTATTTCTCTGATGCGTTATTACCATCGTTGTGGTTATCCTGGAAGTTCACTACCTGATCTCCTGTAAGTCCTTCTCTGTTTCTTTTAGTGTCTCAGCACAATGGTTATTTTCACAACTAATCATCACAAAATAATTTTCTTTCATCAGACCCACCTGCTCATTACATATCCCGCAGAGCTCGTCATCCTCTGAAAATCCTGCTCCGTGTTGGGGAGCCAAGGAGGCGCCCAGCCTCACCCTCCACGAGGTCCCTGCTCTGGGGCGCCCCACTGTGAATTCGCAGTGACCCAGGCTTCCACGCCAACCAGGCGTTTCATTCTTACAGCTGTGTCTTAGCGACGTGAAACCTGCGATCTAGAGCTGTGGTCTACCTCGCTTTCTCTTTCAGGTAACTGTTTGCTAGACCTGCCAAGAAAGCAGATCCAGAGTCCCGAAGAACTCCCGGGACAGACCTACGACGCCACGCAGCAGTGCAACCTGACCTTCGGGCCCGAGTACTCCGTGTGTCCGGGCATGGACGTCTGCGCCCGCCTGTGGTGTGCCGTGGTGCGCCAGGGCCAGATGGTCTGTCTGACCAAGAAGCTGCCCGCCGTGGAGGGAACGCCTTGTGGAAAGGGGAGGATTTGCCTGCAGGGCAAGTGTGTGGACAAAACCAAGAAAAAGTATTATTCAGTAAGTGATCTTCTGAGCACCTGGTGCCTGGAGGGCCAAGGCTGTGTTGTGCATTCCTGGGACCTGTGTGGGCGCTGTCATCAGAAGGTTTTAGTTTCTAGTTAAAATATTTCTCCTTTTGAGATCTAGTTACAGCTTCATCTGTTATCCATAGTAGCCATTCTCAGTAATCAAATTCTAGAGAAAAAGCAGATGATAGGAAGTTCTTGGCATGTTATATCTTTTAACAAATACTCATGTAACCCAAGTTCTGTCCAAGCAAGACCCCAAGTAGGACACTGGAAGTTGTTTGAACCTGCCACCTTTGCCATATGGGGCCAGCGCCCTACTCCTTTGAGGCACAGGCGCCGCCTTCAAACTTCTCTTTTTGAAATTATAAGCATGTATTTATTGAAGGCCAGTAGGGAAATGATAGCAGAGCTGAGGCATATGGTCCTCATAACACTTGGTGAGCTCCACAACGATCATTTCCCACCCCCCCCACCCCCAGTCAATCTACATTTAGAAGCTGAAGTGACCTATGGCTGCTCCAGGGGAACCTGTTTGCCACCACAGGTACACAGTCCAACCTCAGGCCAGCTGCTTTCTTAATTCTCAAGGCCTGGGCAGAGCATGTGCTCCCTCCCACCCATAAGATTTGCCAGGTCCCTGCAGTGGTTCTCAACCTTCCTAATGCGGCCATGTATTTTCATTGTTACAAAGGGGTCACAACCCACAGGTTGAGAACCGCTAGAGGAACATTGCCATAAGCTCATTGCCTGTGTCTTCTGGGTTGTCACCCAACTTTACATCATGGGATACCCTCACACAGGCAGCCAGAGGCAGTTTTCACACATTTCTTTAGCAAAGCAGTTTATAATAGTCTTCCTGGAATGTTTCTAGAGGAACAGACTTAAGACATCAGTAAAAGGCTCTTCCTTCTTTCCCTGTGGGGTGTGTGTGGTGTCCGTGCACCTCAGCATCCGTCACATCTGATTAGGAAGATAGCCACACCCAGGTCAAGTACGGGGATGCATGTAGCAAGGACTCTGTCACAGACCGGACGTGGAATAGCAACAGAAGCCCTGTGGAACTTTAGTGCTAAAGAGGAAAAAAGAGAGGCAGACACACTCAAATAATGCCAAGCATCATGCACAGCCTTCAGCATGACAGCAGACACTCCAAGCTCAGATGCAGGCTCCCACGGTTCTGTGATTATTAACAGACTTGTACAATGTCAGATGGCACAGTTTAAAATGGCTCAGAGAGGCCAGGAGGTGATCTCCTGTGGTGTGCTCAGTACTCAGGCGATGTTTTCAGACCCTCTGATGCGTGGAGCTGGGGCAGGAGGAGCGTGAGGGGGGAATGCTGGAAAAGGTGAACAACTTAGAGGTGGAAACGTGTTAGAACTGCAGAGCATGCCCACGTTAAATTTAGTGAAAATTTAACTGTTTCTAGGATGAAGTTTCCACCATGTCATTAAATGTGATTTTTAAATGTACATTTTGAATGTTTTTTCTCCAGAGTTAAAATATCTTCTGTTTTCTATTTCAGACATCAAGCCATGGCAACTGGGGGTCTTGGGGGTCCTGGGGTCAATGTTCTCGCTCCTGTGGGGGAGGAGTACAGTTCGCCTATCGCCACTGCAATAACCCTGCCCCCAGAAACAGTGGCCGCTACTGCACAGGGAAGAGGGCCATCTACCGCTCCTGCAGTGTCACGCCCTGCCCACCCAATGGTACGCTGCTCCCAGGTGTCAGCAGACACCTTGCGCCATGGAGTTTGTATTTTAGAAGTAATAAATAGAGGAGGCTGGAGAAAGAGATAAGATATAAGTATCTTATATCGCATAGTTCCACAAATATATAAGAGATTTTAAAATTATTACAGTAAATGATAAACCATGCAAAGAATACTTTGTGTATACATAAAATCCATCAACACTGGTGGTTAAAGGAGCTGTGCCAAAAAACAGCACCTTCTCCTTAAAATTCATTGCTGAAGCACTCAAGAATATATCTGAGTTTCAGAACAGATAACGTAATAATGCAACATGTTGTTTCCTAGGTAAATCGTTTCGTCAGGAACAGTGTGAGGCCAAAAATGGCTATCAGTCTGACGCCAAAGGAGTCAAAACCTTTGTGGAATGGGTTCCCAAATACGCAGGCGTCCTGCCTGGGGATGTGTGCAAACTGACCTGCAGAGCCAAGGGCACGGGCTACTATGTGGTATTCTCTCCAAAGGTAACTACACATGACTGTCCAGAAACAGTGGGCAGCCCTGGTGGAAATTATTTGGGAGACTCAAGCCTGGGAATGCCAAATATAAACAGTTTATTATTGGGAGGATGGTTAGATTATGGAGGGTTTTAATTTTAGCTATATAATTTTTATATTTTCAAACTTTATACAATGAATAAAAATCATTTTATAAATGAGAGTAAGTAAATGTTTCAAAAGCTATGTTTTGGGAAGTGTAACTCACTATCAAGGAAGGAGAAGTATGACCTTAACTTTAAAACAACCAGGAAAACAACCAGCATGTCCTAACAACAATTGTAAAGGGGACTTTAAAGGAAGGGAATTTTTTATATTCCTATTACTTGATTAAGAATTCCTTTTACAAGTAATGAAGATTCAAGGTCATCGTCTCTGACCCAGGCTTCTAACTGCTTTTCACCCTTAACATGAATCAATGTTCCCCTCGTTATTACTTTTATAATATTTGTGTGCATGAGATAGTTCCTATTTCTTACAGGTGGGTATTTTCGAAATATACAGCAGGGTTTTTTGTTTTTGTTTCTGTTTTTGTTTTTAAAAAATATGGAACGCTTCACGAATTTGCGTGTCATCTTTGTGCAGGGGCCATGCTAATCTTCTCTGTATCATTCCAATTTTAGTATATGTGCTGCTGACGCCAGCACCAGCAGGGGTTTTTTTTTTTTTTCTTACAATTATTGTTAGGCAACAATTTACAGATACTGTTTATGTGATTTTCAAACAAGTACTACATTTAAAACCACTTCTAAAACTTGACCTTTAGGTATTTATGACATGTTACTAAAAAATAAGCTAATGTCCAACTTACGTGATTTTTAAAATATCATATTTTTTGTTAAAAATAATAAATTGTCGTTTAGAAATATTACAGAGAAATAAACACATAAACATCACCTGAAAATACCACCATCTAGAGAGATTTTAGCCTGTTGAAATATGTCCTACTTCATTTTACACACACACCCACACACACACTTCCACTCACACACATATATGGAAGGAAAGACTTTTGTATATACACAAATACAAAATATGTAGGTTTATTTATATATGAATACATAAATGTCATACTTAACATATATTCACATGCATAAGCCACAGTCTCTATACATCTATTTTATGAGTATTTTTAACTATGTACTAATTCCTTTATTAAAAGATACTCAATCTCTTTCAGTAAGCACTTCCCTCTGGCTTCCTCAGACTCCATTTTCTGCCCTGATCTGATTGTCTTTATTCTGGCATCTAACAGTTCAACACCCAGTAGGGCATGCTTCCCAACCACGAATGGTTTTAAATGTCAAGTGTAGATTTTCAATTTCATTATTATAATAACACTTAATGCAACAAGGAAGGATCTTTGCATTCTGGAGGCTGCTCATATGTAGCTTTCCAGACAAGAGATGGTCGATCCCAAACACTAAATGAAAAGATGCTTCTATCAAAATAAGAAGCCCAGATGGCACTGTGGGAATGTGTTGTGCATATGCAAATGGAGATGGGGACCTCTGGTCTCCTAACACATTTAGAATTAAGTTCAAGAGAGAAAGTGTGCAACCTAGACCTATCTCAGGTCTGTTTTCTCACAATATGTCAAAGGTTTTTCAGCTAGACATTTCTGGAAACTATGTTTTTTGGGGGGTGGGGTTATTTTTTCAGTCTATTCCAATGAAACTGAAAACTGACAAATTAGAAGTTGCTAGTCTACCAAAGGAAGTAAATAGTATGCGCAGTCTTTCCCACTGCTACCGTATTTGTAACCATTCAGGTGACGGACGGAACTGAATGCAGACCGTACAGTAATTCCGTCTGCGTCCGGGGGAAGTGTGTGAGGACCGGCTGCGACGGCATCATTGGCTCCAAGCTACAGTACGACAAGTGTGGAGTATGCGGGGGAGACAACTCCAGCTGCACAAAGGTGGTTGGAACCTTCAATAAAAAAAGGTAATACGATAGAACCCTTGCCTTCATATGAATTGAACTAAGCTCCCTGAAAAATTGATAAAGGTGGACTCACATTACATCACAAGCTTTTGGCAGGAGGAGGTCTCACACGGCTCCCTGTAATACCAACCAGGGTGTAAAGAAAATGAATTTAAAAATACACAGAGAATCATCTTTTCCTAAGGCCCTAGGACTTAGACTTACCAGTGCCTGGGAAAACTCAGTTTATAAGGCCCACAGCAATACCGCCCACCCTACTGATTCTTATCTGTATGAGACCGGTACTAAGACTAGAGAGATTTCTGCCTGATCCCATTCCCCTTCATTCTTTGTTTTTGTTTCATTTTGTTCTTAACAATTTGCTTGGCATCACTTAAACCAGGGGTCCTCAAACTTTTTAAACAGGGGGCCAGTTCGCTGTCCCTCAGACCGTTGGAAGACCGCACTTCGGGCTCCCGGACAAGTGGGCTGCTAAGCAGGACAGGCAGTGGCGGCAAAAACACCCGCAGATAAATGTCCTTGGTGGGCTGCCTGTGGCCCACGGGCTGTAGTTTGAGGATGCCTGACTTAAACTCTAGTCATCAGCATAGTAAAATATGGCTGGGAAAGTTACGTAAGGATTCTATGCATGGACACAGAGAGAAAAGAACACACACTGGAAGTGAAGAGACCCTGCTTTTAAGCCTGGCACTACCACTATTTAACCTTGGAATGAACTTGTTCAAATACTTGCATTATCTCCGCAGTTCATACCCTTTTTGTGTAAGATGAGATATTATCTCCAGTAACCCTGACTTTGTTTGAAGCCAGTGACTGTAGGATTGTGTATTATTTATTCATGTTTGATACCACCCCAAAAGCCCTGTAATGAAGTCTGATCCATATAGGTTACAAAAAAACAAAAGCAGTGACTCCAGTTAGACAGAACTTGCGATGCTGAGTTCCTTTCTCCACCGTAGGCAGCTTTGACACCTGTCTGGCACTTGCTGCAGACAGGGCCTTCCCTGAGGATAAGCCTCCTCTCTACTTCAAAGGAAACACTGGAGCAGGGGAAACACACTTGGATTTTTAGTGTGTAAGTCAATTATCCCTGAATGTCTAACCTTGAGGGAGAACTAGAAATTAAACAATTTCATTTCACACACATCAGTCAAACTGCACGAGCAATCGTATTTCCACTTAAATAAATAGGAAAGTAACCCACGTGGGGACCTTATTATGAAATTACCTATAAACCCAAAGGTTTTGGCAAAAGATCCTCCTCCTCACTGTCCCCTGGATGCTTAATTAGCATTTCCCTCCTAGCATTTGCCACAGTTATTTATGCCTTTGCCCATGTTCCCGAGCAGAGGATAAATCTTTAGCGTCTTACTTGTCACTCACTGTAAAGTTTTACTAATCTATCATAGTGTCTTATTAAGCATTCAGAAACATTTGCTAAGGCATTCCTTTTTTTCTTGTTATGATAATAGTGAGGTATCATTACCCAAATAGAATTTTATGTTCCATTTAGTGGCCTGTCCCCCGAAATCTAGAGTCCTATGTGGAAAAGGCAGCAGAGACTCTATTCTGTTTCCAGTCTCAACGTTAATTAAATCCATGTTCCTCAAATAGTCTGCACATGGGAACAATGTGGGAGCTTCACAAGTCCTGCCACTTGTTCCCCCTCCACCCCCCAGATGGGGACTTCATTGTTCTGGGGTAAAGCATAGGCTTTGGAGTATTTAAAAGGTCCCCATGTGATTCTAATATGCAAACAAGTTTGAGAAACATTAAAAATTTCTATGAGATTAATTGAAGGCAGATTCTTGTCAGTTACATCCCATTTTTGTGCCAGAAAAAAAGACTGAAGTACCTGGGTAAAGATGATAGGATTTTATAAGAATGGTAATGACTGTCCAATCTGTAAATATTGTAAATATTTAAAATATTTAGTGTAAATATTTAAAATAAAGGCAACATGCTGACATCATTCTTATTTGAACATTTCAATATACTGCATATAGTATACAGTACTATACAGTCCAACTGAATTCATCTTGAAGAGATTAATTTTTAAAACTAATTTTGAACTAAAAATTTAAATACATGAAAACTTTTGTCTATGGAAAAGGAACCATACTGTGTCAAATAATTTAAGGAGGTTTTTTATTCTGAGCCACATTTGAGCACCATGACCCAGAGCAACACCCAACATGCCTTGGGGATGTAAACTCACAATGGTGGGGTTACAGTTTGGTTTTAGGCATTTTAGGGAGACAGTGATTACAGGTGAGGTCATAAATCAATATGTGGAAAACATACATTGGTTTGGCCCAAAAAGGTGGGACTTCTGGAAGCCTGGAAGTGGGAGCTTACAGGTTATAGGTGGGTTGAAAGATTCTTTAGCTGACAGTTGGCTGAAAGAGCTAGGCCCTGTCTAAAGGACCAGGAGTCAGTGAAAAGGAATGCTTAAGATTAAGGAGCGTAACTTATTTTCAGCAGGTTAAGTAAGGTTATGTAAGGACTCTATGAAAAGGAATGCTTAATTAAGGGTCTGTTAATTAGAGACAAAGTATCAGACAGACTCCAGTGGTTTGTTGTACGTATTGAGGACCTGCAGGTATACTGAGGAGCTTGCAGAGCCCTAGGCCTGTTAGTGAGTCTCAGAGGACAACTCTAAGAAGGGGGGAGCATGATAAGGCATGTCTGATCTCCTTTTTCATGGCTAGCAACTCATTTTTAGGGATCCTGTTGACTAAGAGGGGGTCCAGTCAATGACTCGCTGAGCAGGAGCCTTAAGATTTTATTTTACTTCACACTTTGTATTATGAGAAGAATTTTAGAGAATTTCTGTTAAAAGTTAACTGGTTTTCTCTCCTTGTCTCATCACCTTCCCTTTCCCCCTCCCTGGTGGACATTCCTGCCTCCAGTAAGGGTTACACTGACGTTGTGAGGATCCCTGAAGGGGCCACCCACATAAAAGTCCGACAGTTCAAAGCCAAAGACCAGACAAGATTCACTGCATACTTAGCCTTGAAGAAGAAGAATGGTGAGTACCTCATCAATGGGAAGTACATGATATCCACCTCAGAGACCATCATTGACATCAACGGGACGGTCATGAACTACAGCGGCTGGAGCCACAGGGACGACTTCTTGCATGGTATGGGCTACTCTGCCACAAAGGAAATTCTAATAGTGCAGATTCTTGCAACGGACCCCACAAAAGCATTAGATGTTCGTTACAGTTTTTTTGTTCCCAACAAGTCCACTTCAAAAGCAAACTCTGTCACTAGCCTGGGTAGCAATAAAGTGGTACCCCATCCTTCACAGCCACAGTGGGTGACGGGCCCGTGGCTGGCTTGCTCGAGGACCTGTGACACAGGCTGGCACACGAGGACGGTGCAGTGCCAGGACGGAAACCGGAAGTTAGCGAAGGGATGTCCTCTCTCCCAGAGGCCTTCTGCATTTAAGCAGTGTTTGCTAAAGAAATGTTAGCCTGTGGTTGTGATCTTACGCACAAAGATAACTGGAGGATTCAGCACTGACACTGCCGTGGTGAACGAGAGGTCTACCTGTGCACAGCAAGTCACGTTTCAGTGTCATTGTCTGTGGGAGTCCAATTATGGGCAGAATCTGCTCTCTGTGACCAAAAGAAGGTGTGCACTGCTTCATGTGACAATGGTGACCTTGGAACATAGAATAAATTGGGAATGATTCCACATCCCCTGGGCCTACAAAAATGAAAAAAAAAAAAAAAAAAAGAAGAGAAACACTGATGAATGTAGAATCAGGGGACATTTGAAGATGGCAGGAGCGTCTGCCCTTTGTCACCTACCTCTAGAGAATGTCTATAAAGACATTGTAATCATTTTCACCCATGATGCACAGTAGCTTATTTTTACTGTCTGTAAATACATCCTTCCTTGCTATGTCACTTTATATCCCTTGATTCTATTAAAAGTATATACATATACATATATAGATATATATATTTCTATAAAATGTCTTTGACCAAAGTAGGTCTGCAGCTATTTCAACTCCCTTCAGTTTCCAGAAAGAGCTGTGGATGTTTTACTGGAAATTAAGAACTTGCTGCTGTTTTAATAAGATTTAGTATATTTTCTGACTACAGGAGATAAAATTTGAGTCAAAAACCATTTTGACAGCAAGCATCTTCTGAGAAATTCTGAAAAGAAAGAGGAGCTTAGTGTGTGCAGTCATTTACATATATACACACCTCCATCTCCTCACATCTTTGACTGCCTGTGTTTTTATCAGGTCGCCAACCCAATTCATGCATAATTTAGGATGTAAAGTAGGGTTTGCGTGTGTTATGTGTCCAGTATTCAAGAGTCCAAAACCTACTTTCCTTGTGTTGGAATTTAAAAGAAAAAAGTACGTATTTCACCATGTTTTTGATTTATATTTTCACAGATGCTTTCTCTTCCTATGGCTCTCATCTGGAATCTCCCAATGTGTAACGTGCATTCAAAACACACAGCTAAGATTTTTCTATCATATCCAACACCGTCAACACTGGTATACCTCTTACCAGCAGGCCTTTAACATGCACTTGCTGTTGTGTTTGCTTGTTTGCTTGTTTTGTTCGAGGGTTCCATGAGACCTACAATGTTGTGTACTGCTTCTCCACTTAGTTCAGGCACATCAAAGATCACGTGGTAATTAGCCACCTCTAAAAGTGGTTATCTTCATTAATGTGCTTAACGCAGGGAAAAAAGTGATTGTTATTCATAAGACTGTTTCCACACCATAGGCAATACTCCTTTAAAATTTTTTTTAGTCTAACTGTATGTCTACTGTACTAAAGATTTTTCCCAACTGGAAAGCATTTGGTGGTGCCAGCAAGTGTTCAAGTGATGAAATGTGATGGTTTTCAGGAAGTTGTTGCTTTTATTTCATAGCCTGTTTAGGTAGGTTGTAAGTTTGAATAGTTAGACATCTTTTTTTATAATCATACACCTACAAAACTCTCTTATAGATGATGGTGAACTGTGTACCCCAGTACCCCAAAATTCAGAAAATCTAAGATGTTTCATTTCATTGGGATTATTTTTTATGTGGGAATTACCGCAAAGCCAATTTTTTTATAAAATTTTATAATAATCATACCCAATGTGCCTGTTGTTAAAGATTTGCATATAAGGATGTTAGGGAACCATTGTTTGAGTTCCACTTAGCTCATGGAGTTTATTTTTATTAGAAGATATTTTTAATATAAATGAATTATATAATTGATCTCATTATATCACTTTCATTTCAGTGGACCAGGAAAACAAGTGTCTCACTGTTTTAAATATTTTATTAAGAAATTATTTTGTGGCTCGGCGCCTATAGCTCAACCGGCTAAGGCGCCAGCCACGTACACCTAAGGTGGCAGGTTCAAATCCCCAGCCTGGACCCGCCAAACAACAATGATGGCTGCAACCAAAAAATAGCCGGGCGTTGTGGCGGGCGCCTGTGGTCCCAGCTACTTGGGAGGCAGAGGCAGGAGACTCGCTTGAGCCCAGGAGTTGGAGGTTGCTGTGAGCTGTAATGCCACGGCACTCTACCCAGGGGGACAGCTTGAGGCTCTGTCTCAAAAAAAAAAAAAAAAAAAAAAAGAAATTATTTTGTTTAAAAAATAATTGTGGGCAGTGCCTGTGCCTCAAGGAGTAGGGCGCCAGTCCCATATACCCAGGGTGGTGGGTTTGAACCCCGCCCTGGCCAAAACTTCAAAAAAAAAAAATAATAATAATTGTTGTAGAACACCAATGATTATTCTTTCAATTTAAACAGAAATTTTGGTTTATATGTGGTAATTTTTTTCATAATAATTAGTCAGTTCAAGAAATAAGACCTTTACAAGACTGATAACCTATATGTGATGGAGATCACCATCTACCAATGGCAGGAACCAAAGTTAGCCAAAGAGGTCAGGAAAAAAACTAATAAAAAATCAACCATTTGACTGTGCAAAGAGAATGGAGAGTCCAATGTTACTTTTCCCAATATTGAAAATAATTTTAATCAAGTAATTCAAATGTAACAAAACTTATTTTTATATTTAGTAGTTATATTACCAATAACATTAAAACACAATTGAACAGCAGACATAGTGTCTCCTACTGTGCTTCTCTATATTGGATTCATAGATTTTTAAAGTGATTTGTCAATGATTCGTTTTTCCCCCCAAATAATGCTATCTTACACTTCTCGTTGAAACATCGCAAGTGAGCGTAGAGCCAATAAACCACTAGTCCATACTTTCCTTTTTTTTTTTTATTACCTTTTTCTTATGAGTATTACTAGATTGACTAAGGAATGTATATCTAAACTCCTGAGAAAAGTGATACAGCCTAGAAACTAAAATTCAGAAAATAGGAGTGTTCATTGGATGCAAAAGAATGATGAACAAAGGGAAAATATCGTACGTGTCTAACTCTATCCAAGTCAGTTCAGTTTCTGTTTGTTCTCTGTCTTCCACCTCATTGTAGTTGCCATCTTGAATTTTTGAAAAATCTGAAATTCAGGATGCTAGGGGCTACTTCTTAAAAAAGAATTATCCAAAAATGCTCAGGTTTGTAGGAATCTAATCTCACTTACATAATTAAGTAAGCACTCCAAAGTATGTTTCGAGCACTCCAAAGTATGTTTCGTTACATACAAAGGGAACCCAGAAGAAAACATCTGTTTCTTCCAGACCAGAAAAAGGCAAATTAAGCCTGGCCTCACTGGTCTTGGTATAGGGCCACTGTTATAATTTAGTCAACAAATTCAACTTCCTTTGCCTTCCTGTGGAAACAGTTTTATCTCATGAAACTAAGAATTGAGGGATGAATCACAAACAAAAAGTCCTTTGCAGCACTGAAAAAAAAAGTAATTTATTGTTTTTGCAACTGGTATGTGAATTTGTGTGATAAAATTATTTATTCTTATTTAACAAAAATATGTGCAAATTTTTCTATATTTAAAATGTTTCGCTGTTGTCCTTCTTTTTTAATTTATGCTTTATGTTTGTGTATTAAGTACACTTTGTGAGTTTACATAATATTCAGCACTGGTTGAATTTGTATATTTCTACAGAAAGCTTTTCATGTAAAACAGGTGTATGTGTATATATTCCTCATGTATCCTTATTCTGATACTACCATTTTCCTAAGGACATTTTTAATTTGATCTTTCATGACTAGTTCATGTTCATTACTTGTAGCTAGGTTACTAGGTCTTCTACATGCCATTAACACTAGTTTTCCCAAGTCAGTGATAAGAAAAATCCTTATACAATCAAACAAGGTGCAAGTTTTAAATCTGGGTACACAGCCTAGAAGCTTCCCACAGATGCCAAGACATAGTCAAGAGGCAGGTCCGTTCACTCATAAACTTGGACAAGTTGCTGCTGATGTATTAGATGAAAGTTGTGTACATACCACCTCTGAGGAGTATAAATGATAATGAAACCAAATATTGTCTTTCACTGCTTTAGAATCATCCCCTGAAATTAATATCATTTGGTCTCTAGTGTCTATAGGATTCTATAGACAGGTGCAAACACATTGGATTTGTACAATTCAGATGCTAGTAGTCATAATTGTTTCTACAGATATGGGGTGGCTATTAATAGAATAGGACTGTTCCCTACTGCTATTGAATCCCCTGAAATGATGATAAGATTTGGGACAGGCAGGGTTATCTCTAATGACATCAACTTACCACTATGATTTCACAGTCTGATCCCAGCAATAAGCAAAGCAACCTTTGTCTCAGCACAAGTCACACCAGTCTCTGGTTCTCATGTTTCCCTCTTGACTCCTTCCTTTTAACAAGGTCACTGTAATGGTTTAGGTGAGGACAGCAGCCAGATTCAAAGTCCAGGGCTTGTGCTGTGACTTAAGCTTCACTGTTTGTAAAATAAGATTGAATTTAATAATGACTGCATTTTGTGCTGGTTTGTGACTCAGTGTGAAATCTCATTGGCATGAGTGGTGCATATTACTAATTTCTTCATAATTAAACTTAAGGGCAGGCAAATACTTTATATTCTTAAGCATTTCAAAGCTACAAAATAAATGAAATAACATGAGTACACAATGGTCATCTCAGGCTACAGTAGAATGAAATTTGAGGTGCTTTATTATTTAGATATACAAAAAAGAACTTGTGCATTTTTTAAATTATTTTTCTCATTTGTCAACAACTTATAGTTTTAGATTATCAGACAGATTAACTTACCTGGCTAGCACTCTGGAAAAAAATTATTATAGTGGCATTCTGTTAGCATGAACTACTGAAACAATACATTGTTATGAAACATGTCACTCTATAATTGTGCATAATTGTGTTCTACTTAAGTAATGTGTAGGAGCATATGGACATAAAAATCATGCATTAATCAGCCAAAAAAGTAGGAATAACTATGGTCATCAGATCAGCAAAGAATTCCATCTGGCAAAGGCCTGATGTTACAATACAATTCTCAATGAAGGTTTTGTGGGGAAAATAAAGGAACGTGTTGTTAGATGTTGGCTTTGACGGAAAGTAAGACATTAACATACAGATTAGTTCGCCCAGTTAATTGCACCCTACTAATATGCTAGCACTTTAGCTATAATTTTTCTTGGTCTTTATGTGCTCAAATCTCCACCAACTAACTAGTCCATTTGGCTTGTTAGGTCAACTAAGAAATTAAATAACGGTCCATCATCCTATAAAGCACTACCACATCAGAGTGACCCAAAGTCTAACACTGTGAGGAAAACTGTGATTTGTAAATAAAACAGGGCACGTTTTTTTACTTTTTTCATTTTCCTTTGGCACATCCAGTGAATAATTGTTAACTGTTATCGAGGTGCTAACAGCTTCATGACTCACTGTCAAATGTAGTATTTCTGAATTACGACTTTTTTCTACACGATTT